AGAGATAATAGGCTTAAGTCCCCTAAGGCTCTGGAAAGAGGGGGTACTGAGCTTGGGTAATGTACTTAGTAGGATCTTCTAATTGGATAATGATGGGGGAATGGTGTTTAGTAACAGAGGGGTTTTGGGTGTCCCAGACTTGGGGATTCAACTGAGAGGCTGGTAGAGGAAAAGGCAATTGGAGCTGGGAGGTTGGGAGGGAAGGAGGAGGGGAGCTGCTGGCAAGTCTGGGGTAAGGTGAATGGAAGAAGCAAATGAAATTGAAACTTCTACTTTTGCTAAAAAAAATCTCTTCCCATAAGAGGTACAAGACAGGTTGGCATGACTAAAATGAATGAGATAAATACCCCTAATAATACAGTTAAGTTGTAGGGTCTTCTGAGGTAGATAAGACTGTCCCCCTACCCCCAAAATAAGGAAGCTATGAGGAGAGGTAGGCCCCCAGAATTCCCTCAGTACCAAGTGTGTGTCTCTGGTGTCCAAGAGAATTGAGATGGGCCATCCTGATACCATGATGTGTACCCTGTTACAGACGATGGTTGTGGTCAGGTCAAAGGAGCCCAGGCAGCCTCATTCATCCATGGTTGGACCTAGAAGTTCAACTTGGGAATTTTCTGGGTTTGATGTCTCCATGTCACGATGTGAACAAGGACAATCAACTGCCCAATGTCCTTCCCTATGGCATCTCAGACAAAGTCTTGTGGGGCCAATATGAGCATTAGGGTGTGCTTGGGTCCAGAGACCAGTTCTAGCACATTTAAAACATGGGCCTGGTGGTACTCGAGCCTCAGGGGGCAAGGGAGCAGCACAGACAGCATGGATCATGAGGTCTGTCACCTCAGCTGGTTGGAGGGCCATGGCTAGCATGTGACAGTGATTGCAGGCTTTGTCATTTCTTGCATGGTACACCTTAAAAGCCAACTCTAAGTCTTCTGCCTGCGGGGTCAAGAGGCCTTTCTCCAAACGTCTAAGTTTAGCCTTAATGTCAGAGTAGCACTGAGAAAAAAATGAGTCATGAGTAACTGTCTGCATTCCATGGTTTCTGGATCTAAGTTAGTATATTTTAACAGGGCTTTAGTGAGGCGTTCCAAAAATGCAGAAGGATTTACTTTCATATATTGAATGACCTCTGAGAGCCTATTATAGTTTCCTGGCTTGAGGTCAGCTTGACGGAGACCTGCCTGTCAAAAACCAGTCCCTAGTTAAAATCCCACCAGGAGTGTTATAGTCCCAGTGAAGTTCCTGCTCAGAGACTACCTCTGCCCCCAGAAGGTCTGTTGCATGTGTGTGGTGAATTTCATCTGCATTTAGTCCGGCCTGCTCCCACACTCACCTGCACTCTTCAGGAAGTACGTTATTATATCATACAAATATGATGAAAGGTGAGATTATAAGACTGGGTAATATATTGGAATTGCTTTATGAAAGTGGTAGAATTAGATGTATAGAACCTCAGTTTTTGTTCTGTATGGAAGAGGAGAGAGAGAGAGAGAGAGAGAGAGAGAGAGAGAGAGAGAGAGAGAGAGAGAGAGAGAGAAAGGAACACGCCAGCCACCTTTCACAATGGGAAAACTGCAGCTGGCTTGGTTTGGGTTCCATAGCATGTGAGAAGAGGGGTAAAGGTTGGTGCCAGAGCAAGGAGGCTGCTGTGGCCAGGCACCAGAGAGGAAGAATGATCCAGATGGGCTGATGGAGTAGTTAATGTGGGGGAGAGAGAACTGAAAAGAGAGCAGAGGAAGGCAGTAAGGCAGTGGGAAGTAAAGGAATGGAAGTATCTGTCTGTTGAGGTTGGGAAGGTGTGGATTCCTTAGCAGGGTTCAGAACAGTAGCTGAAGGAATGGGGGTAGGAGCTGGAGGAACATCGGTAGGAGCTAAAGGAACAGGGATAGGAACTTAAGGGATGGTAGTAGGAGCTAAAGAAGCAGGGGTAGGGACTGAGGTTGAAAAGGCGGAGCTCATTACCTGGGTACAGAGCAGAAGTGGAGTGTTTTTCCAGTTCAGATGACATAGCCAGAACATGTGAGCAGGTGAACAACTTGCAAGGACAGAGGGCTTAGTCTTAGAACTTAGATAGCAAAAGACTTGGATATAAGGAAACTCCTTCTATTTGCCTGTGTGCTGATAGTAGTTAGAAAGTTCCTATAACATATTTGGATCAAAGGTGCCATTAGGTGGCCATTTTTGATTGCTATCTAAATTGTAATTAGGTCATTTTTTTTCACAAAGATGGACAAGTGTGGGAATCTGTAAGTAGGGCATTAAGGCCTGGGGTTTTAGGGCCTCTAAAAGGCATCCAGGGACTTGAATGGCTTGCTACCCATAGCTGAAACCATGAAAATCTATGAAACAGCAATTCCACAAGGCCTATAATGGGACATCTCCCTCTATAGGTGGGGTATAAATTGGTGGCGAACACCACAGGACCTGTAGGAGAGAGCCCTCTGCCCACAGGTGGGGTGCTACAGCCTGACTGAATCCGGTCAGGGTGACTCAGAAGCCAGAGGCTATAGGCCACTCTGAGTGGCCTTTCGTGGGGGGGGGGGAGAGAAAAAGAAAAAAGAGAAAGAAGAATCTGAGGGACCTTGGGCTCCCAGTGGCAGGAGGACTGACCCTGGATCAGCCAAACATGATATTTGCTAAGGGAAGCAATCCAGAGATGAATGTGAACAAAGGGCTCAACCGTAGCCTTAAAGACCATGGTTGGGGGCTGTCCACCCCCCGCCCCCATTTCCAGGAACACCAGAAGATTGCCTGGAGCTCAATGGTCAATTCCGCGGGTTTGATGAAACAGTTAAGCTGACCAGAATGAGGGAAACTTATGTAACAGGTGGTGTGCATAGAAACTGTGCTCAGGCAAATGGAACATGTGGTTGCTGTGGAAAAAATACCCAGAAGAGAGGCTTGGGGTGGGAGAGCCATCCGAGTCACGGCACCAATGAAATTACCTGGTGCGAGTGACAAGGAAACATGGGACACACAACTAACCTGCTTAGTTTATTAGAGGGGGTGTACACAGGCCTGGGAAGTCAGTGTGCAGAGAGAAAGATGGCATATCCAGCTTTTAAAACTGGCTAGGGCATTAGCACAGGGGGTTGAGGTGGCTACATCATACGCAGATGACGGGGCTCACATATGTGCACAAGGGCTTAGCTGAGTCATAAGTGGATGATGTAATCCATGGCACACAGGTCATGCGGGAGCCCCTTAACATCCTGGCCTTTAGGCGCTTCTGCCTGAGGGCTTGTGTGTACCTGCATGACCCCAAGAACCCAGAAGTATCAGTCTTATGTGGCTGAAATCATACAATATGAAGGAAAGAAGGAGGAAGAGTAGGAGGGTTAATCAAAAGGACGTATGAAGAAGCCTCATGAAATCCCACTGTCTTATAGGTTAATAGTAAGTATGATTTTAAAACTTTAAATAGAAGTGTCTCACCTAGGTAAATAATGCTGCTCCCAGAAACTAGGGCGAGTAAATGAAATTCTTTGTAACAGGTACTGGTTATCTGTCTAGCAATTACTGTCAGGTAAGCCCAGGAGGTATCCCAAACAAAACAAGTCATTGCCAGCGCTCTTGCTTTACCACCCATAAGTACATGGTGTTGCTGAAGACAACACTTTTGTTTCAAGATCAAGAGAGAGCAATCTTGAATTTACCAGTAATTTGTCCCAACTGACTATCTTTCATAGGATTGTAATGTAACATAATATCCTGTGACCCGGTGCCAGAGCAAACACTACTAGCCATGAAACCTGCTGGGCTATCCCTGGTCTACTGCCAAAGTTTTCACTCAGCCCCTAATCCATCCTTTGCGACACAGAAACCTTTTGTTGCCCTATGTGTATCTTGTCTTGAGAGTTTCTATGGATACAATGCATATGCAAAACTTGATTTAGAGGAAACCTGGAAAACTGTGGCACCTCATGAACCAGGTATTTGCACCTGGCACTGTGTTTTCAGAAACTTCTCTTGGTTTGTTTTTGAGAGAGGAAATCTTATCTAAAATGTAAATATAGGGAAGAATAAAGGTGCTAAGAGACAAAGGGAAAATGCTTCAGTTCACCAAGACTAAGCCCCTTGCAGCCTCAGAGGTTCATTCTCATGTGTTTCAGAGTCTTCATTTCATGAACCTGAGTGAACCCGTATACCCACACCGAGATACTTGTGACAGTGTAAGGCCATGCGAGGGCTGCTGGCAAAGAAAACATGTTAACAGTCTACTTAACTATGGACCCTGCATCATACATTACTAACTTACTGGGCAAAATATGTATACTGGTGCAACACTATCAGAACTCCTTACTGGCATAACCAACCTGTCTCTTGATTGGATGTGAGTCCTGCTGCATAAAGAGGAACTCATGCCATGATTACAAACCAAGGCTTTGAAGTTCTAATTCCAAGGACAGAAACTACTGATGTTTCATTACTGATGTTGTTAATCGGTCATCTAAATATTCATGATTAAAATAATCACTTTGTACTACTCTCAGCCTTAGTGAAAGAAGTCTCCTCCTGCAGTAGGTAGTGGGTAATGCACAGACTCTGGGCAACTGCCATTCCCTCATGGCTGAGTCTCCTTTACCTCCACGAGGATGTACTAGCAGTTAATGAAAGCACTATCATTTTATTGATTTGTGTGGAGCCAATACTTTTCTTCAGTAGCTCAAAATGAATTTCTGCAGGCCCTCAGGGATTTCTTTTTTGTTGTTTTGCTTTTTGAGATGGCGTTTCTCTGTGTAGCCCTGGCTGTCTTGGAATTTGCATTGTGGACCAAGCTGAACTCACAGAGATCCATCTGCTTCTGCTCCACAGAGCCGAGATTAAAGGGATGTACCATCAGGGCCTGAGCCCTTGGGGATTTCTAAAGTGTTTATGATAAACCTGTGATATCACAATCACAGCCTATCTCTTTGTAGTTTCTCACTTCCTTGTTAGTTGTAAGGTTCCAGTCTAGTATAAAGATTATCAAAAGTGAACAAAAGATGAGACTTAGAGCATTGTCTTTCAGGTTGAATTTCCTTTTATGTCGGCAGTGTCAGCACCAGATAAAGGATTTATCAAATTCAATTTATTAGGTGAATATAATTTCCAATGAGCAGAAGATTTGGGGATTATATATGGTATAGCTTTCTATGTTTTCTCAGAATTAGAATTTTATGGTGTACTGTACAATTAGAAGTCTTTATCACATTTTAAAAGTTATTAGATTTTTTTCCTTACTATTTAATTTAATTAGTTCAAGACAGGGTCTATGTACTTCTGGCAGCCCTGGATCTCACTATGTAGACCAGGATAGCCTCAGACTCATAGGGATCTTCTTGTCTCTGCCTACTAAATGTTAGGATTAAAGGAGTACACCACATAGTGTCTTTATTATGAGATCTTGAAGGCAGAACTTTTTTTTTTGTTTGTTTTTTGAGAAAAGATTTCACTAACAGCCTTGGCTATCCTGGAAATAGTTGTGTTCACGAGGCTGGACTCAAACTCACAGGTATCCACCTACCTCTGCCTCCTGAATGCCAGGATTAAGTTTTGTGCCAACACCACCAAGCTAAGAAAAATAATTTTATTACTGTATTTCGCAGGGGCTGGAGTCAAGGTTTAGTGGCACTGGTTGCCCTTCCAGAGGGCTGGAGTTCAACTCCTACCACAAATACAGGAGCCCACAACTGTCTGTAACTCCAGTCTTGGGTTGGGTTACAAAATGCCCTTTGCTGGCATTCCCAGGCACCTGGCAAGCATGTAGAAAGGTTTGCAAAGCAACTCTTTACACATTCGGCAAAGCACCTATACACATGAAAAAAACCTTCAGAGTTACTATTGCAGAAATTTTAAAAATATAAACCCTGTAATTTCTTCAAATATTTAAAACTTCATTACCGGTTTTTATAAATTTTTTATCTTTATGTTTCTATTATTGTAGTTTGTCTTTCTGGTCAGACTTTCTTTATACCAACAGCCCCCAGATAATGATAAAAATTCTTATTATTTATGAAAGCTTGGCCTTTCGCTTAGTCTTGTTCCGAACTAGTTCTTATACCTTAAAGTAACATGTTCCTATTAACCTGTGTTTAGCCAAGTGGCTCTTTACCTCTCCTCAATTTTGTATGTTAGATTCCTCCCATGTCTTTTTGGCATCTGCTGCCACACCAGATTCATCCCAAGTTCCTCACTCTCCTGAGAAGTTCCGCCTATTCTCTCCCACCTAGCCATTGGCCAGTCATCTCTTTATCAAAACAAAAAGAAGGTGCTTTGGCAAAGACACATCTGCACAGTATACAAAAAATTATCCCATAGCATATTATGTATACTGTTGGGATTTATAAACAGAGAATAAAAAAAAATACTATGTCACATTATGAGAATGGTATTTTTCTATCAAGTATGAACTCCCTGATGTCTTCTAAGACTTGAAAGGTGGATATAGGACAAGTCACAGTCTTTACATTTGTAGGGTTTCTCTCCAGTATGAATTTTCTGATGTGCTCTGAGGTAGGAAGCCCTGATAAAAGTTTTGTCACATTCCTTACAACTGTAAGGTCTCTCTCCAGAATGAACTCTTTGATGTCTTCTAAGATTTGAAATTTGCTTAAAGGACATGTCACAGTCTTGGCATTTGTAAGGTCTCTCTCCAGAATGAACTTTCTGATGTATTTTAAGAGTAGAAATCCGGAGAAAGGATATATCACAGTCTTTGCATTTGTAGGGTTTCTCTCCAGTATGAATTTTCTGATGCGCTCTGAGGTAGGAAGCCCTGATAAAAGATTTGTCACATTCCTTACAACTGTAAGGTCTCTCTCCAGAATGAATTTTCTGATGTTTTCTGAGGACAGAACATGTAGTAAAAGATTTGTTACATTCCTTACAACTATAAGGTCTCTCTCCAGTGTGGAGTCTCTGATGTATTCTAAGGTATGAATGGTGGATAAAGGATTTGCCACATTCTCCACATTTGTAGGGTTTCTCTTCAGTATGAATTTTCTGATGTGCTTTGAGGTGGGAACACCTCGTAAAGGATTTGTCACATTCTTTACAACTGTAAGGTCTCTCTCCAGTATGAATTTTCTGATGTTTTCTGAGGTCCGAGCATGTAGTAAAAGATTTGTCACATTCTTTACAACTATAAGGTCTCTCTCCAGTATGGACTCTCTGATGTGTTCTAAGATTTGAATGGTGGATAAAGGATTTGCCACATTCTCCACATTTGTAGGGTTTCTCTTCAGTATGAATTGTTTGATGTGCTGCAAAATATGAGAACCTAGTAAAAGACTTGTCACATTCCTTACAACTATAAGGTCTCTCTCCAGTGTGGACTCTCTGATGTTTTCTAAGAGTTGTATGGTGGTTAAAGGACATACCACATTCTCCACATTTGAAAAGTTGCTCCCCAGTATGTATTCTCTGATGTCCACTGAGGCTTGAAGCAGTACTGAAGCATTTCCCACATTTCCCACACTGGTGTGGTTTCTCTCCAATGTAGATAGTTTGTCGTAAATGACTATATGTTGAGCCATAGTAGTCATCACATTCTCCCTGCCTGTGTTCTTTCTCTGCATTGTAGACTCTCTGATCTTGAGTAATGTTGGGACACAAATTTAAAGCTTTCTCACAGTCTTTAGATTTACAAGGATCTTCTCCAGTGTGCATGCTTTCATGTCTGTCTAGGTTTGATGAGTCAACAGAGGCATCCCTGTGACTATTGCACCTGTAGTTATTAGAGTTTTCTGTAGTGTCACTTGATCTATAAAGTGCACATGTGGAGAGGTCATGAAGCATTTTGCAAAAGTCATTACACTGACAAAAATCCTTTTCAGTCTTCTCATGTTGATGGACAAGATCACATATGCAATAGTTCCCTGAAAATGATTACAGTTCAGATTAGTAGGGCTTGATCAAAGATTAATTTAATAAACGACTGTCTCTCTAAGTTCTCTGTTCAGATGAGTCAAACAGCAACTACTTAGATATTTTCTTCTCAGTAATTAAATGTATTCTCACAAAAACAACCTGACAGCTTTCAAGGGTCTGTAATTAATAATAGATTTCTCATCCGTATCGAAAATGTCTAACCTCATCAAATGGATCATGTAATTGAGGAATCAGTAATTGACTTTGGGATAGACTCATTTACTGATTATGTTTAGAAAACACATCTCTATCTTTAAGTAATTTTTTCTCCGAAATTGATGAAGGAGTATAACCCAATCACAGCATTTATACTTACTAAGTGATTGACAATGCAGACTGGTCAGAAGACTAAAGTCTTACTTAAAAGTATCACAGGGTTTATTTCTTTCTCTAGAAAAACACATTAGATTCTTCAAAAGTAATGGATGCAAAGACAATATTCTAGCAGGCATCAGAGGCTGTAGCTCATTTACTGTAGGGCTGTCATGGGCAGTTATTGCTTATTTCTACTTAGACACTGCTATCTATCTCCACACACTGCCGTGTTTCTTAACTTTCCTGATAGGGTTATTCCAAGTCTACTTGGTACATCGACTCCCGATGTACAGACAGACCAAAAGGGTGTCTGTCTGTTCTCCATTGGGAAGAAAATGAAAGATGTAAAATGAAAACACACAGTAAGGAAGGCAATTATAGAATAATCCTAATTCATGGACTCACATTAGACTTAGAAATTATAAGATTATTTCAATCTGATGTCAGCTTGGTCAAATAAAATTGCATTTTGTACTATTATTAAGCTACCATAATATAGATGCAGTAAGACACAACTCCTTATAATAGTTACATCAGGCAGAATGCATTCTGGGACTAGGATACAACACTAAGTTAAATAATCAGGAACGATTTCAAGTGAAATTGAATATCACAAAAACATTCTCAGCTCTTGCTTTCCCTTTCACTGGAAGCCATTACTGTTGTCCTGTTCATTCACTAGCCCACCCTGGTTGTGGCTACTCTCTCCTCTCCAAATTCCAGGGCAATTTCATTTGCTCTGGACAGGTACCCAGACCTTGCATACAATAGTCCACATACTGCAAGGTAGCCCATGACCCATGCTAGAATTTTTAGAAAGAATATAGAAGTCTAATCTAGTACTGTACTCAGTAAATGAAAAGTACACAAAGTAAAAGAATCTAGAAATGATTTCACATTGCTATTTCATCCAGAATCTTCTGCATATTTAGGGAGAATTTTCATATCACCTATTTTTTTTTCTCTCAAAGAACCATGTCATGTACAATGATGGATTTGAAACTTTAAGATATATATGGAATTATTATATGCTACTGAGTTTCTGAATGCATTTTGGAACCAAAATGAAAGGTAAACAACATCTCTAACATGGTAAATGGAAAGAAAAGTCAAATTCCATGAAAAAGTTCTTTCCTATTACCAAACTTAGCCTAGTCTCTTTTTGTGTTCAAGACAGCATAACAGAGTTTACAATCTATGAAGTCAGTACATACAAAAAATGAGCTAAGAACTCTACAAGCAAAATGTTCTCACCCACAAAGACGAGGTTGCTGTAATTCTCCAACATCACATCAAGGTACAAAGCCCTCTGAGCAGAGTCCAGGCATTCCCACTCCTCCTGGGAGATGTCCACAGTCACATCCCTGAATGTTAACAGACCCTGGAATGAAAAGTTGTTTAATTAGGTTATACCAGGAAGAGTGCATTTCCTGAGACAACTAGTCGAAGCGATGATTTCTGATAGAGTCACATTCTATAATGAGTTTCTAAGTTCCTGAAATCAGGATGACACCATAGTCTCACACGTGATATACACTAACAATGAATATTTAAGGTCTAGACACAGTTATATCTGGTATGAATGCTGTGTTTATGTTCTATAGGATCACAGCATAGAAGTCTCAGAAAGAAATGTGCTTTAAATGCTATACCTGTAGATCATGGTAAAATAATGACACCAACTCAATTTTGTGAATTCTTTGGCCTTACATGATTGTATTCTAACATGTTAAATTTGTATGTGTAGTGTCTAGGTCTAATGCCATTATGTCTAAGAGAAAAGGGGAAGCTGTGTGGTGGGGACACACAGAGAAAAGGGGGAGCTGTGTGGTGGTGACACACGGAGGCCGGTGGATTTCTGTTGAGCTGAAGGTCAGCGTGTTCTATAGACTGAGTTCCAGGATAGCTAGGGTTACACAGAGAAACCTTGTCTCAAAAAAACCAAACACACACACACATACATATGTAATAGAAACCAAATATTATAGAGCACTAAAGTCCAAAATATGTCTCTTTTAATTCCACACATTGCTAAGATGTTGTGACAACTATTCCGGTGATTCAATATCTGCTTTTTATAACCATGACTCAAGGAAATGTGACAGACCACACCAATGGAGCCTACATGCCACAGGAGCCCTCACACAATTATTTATAAAAATGTAGTCCATCTTCTATAGCAATTGGGCTTCAACATAATTTTTGTTCATGTATTAGAGTGAAAATATATTTAAAATTAAACATCATAAGTCCATGTGGGATATTTACCCTCAAATTATTGGAGAAGAGTATTGAGAATGGTATAGTAATAAAATTAGACAAGAAAGGACCCAGAAAGAAAACCATAAAGGTATGCCCACTTAATATTTAACAAAGGAGGCAAAAGTATAGATTAGAATAATACGACCTTTTCACCAGATGGTATAGACAAAACTGGATCCAGGAGGTGCTGTGGGATGGTCCTTTTGTACCCTGTAAGTGTGTGTTGTACTCATTGGTTGATAATAATGCTGTTTTGGATTTTGGCAAGCCAGAATAAGGAAATAACAAACTGAGGACTTGAAGGAATAGTGCAGAGTGGAGAGATGCCAGTGAGCTGCTGGAAGCACAAGATGTACAAGACCATGAGTCACATGACAACAAATAGATTAGTAGAGATGGATTAATTTGAAAGTAGGAGCTAATTAGCAGTAAGTCTGAGCAATAGGTCAAACAGTTTGCAATTAATATTAAGCTTCTGTTTGATTATTTTGGGACTGGGTGGCTGGGAAATGAAAGCACAGCCTCTGTTTCCAAGCAGGAGAATGAAATTAGTTTCTTATCTTTCATTTGTACAAAAATCCACAGAAAATGGATCAAAAGCCGTATTTAAATGCTGTGGGACAACGGTCTTTTATCCTGTCACTTGTATTATTTTAATAAAATGCTGATTGGCCAGAAGCCAGGCAGGAAGTATAGGCGGGACAATGAGAAAAGGAGAATTCTGGGAAGAGAATAAAGTCAGTCTGCACTCCATCCAGAGGAAGCCAGATGCAGAGGAAGCAAAATGAGAATGCCTCGCTGATAAAAGGTGCCAAGCCACGTGGCTAACATAGGCAAGAATTATGGGCTAATTTAAGATGTAAGAAAGAGTTAATAAGAAGCCTGAGCTAATAGGCAAACTAGTTTATTATTAATGTAGATTTCTGTGTGTTTCTTTGGGACTGCACAGCTGTGGGACTGGGCGAAACAGAAACCTTGAGCAACATTTAAAACCAGAAACACAGATACTAGGAAAACATAGGGAATACCCGTGAGGACATCAGGACAAGCAAGGACATATTGATTAGGAAGAACAGCAACAGCATAGGAACTGACCTACGTATCAACAGATGGGACACCATGAAAAAAAATCAGCAGAAACAATCAGCAGAGCACACAGACACCTGCAGAGTGGGAGAGAATCTATACCTGCAACACTGGGGATAGCATCTCACATATAGAATTTACAAACAATTATAGAAATTAAATAACATGGAAATAAAACTGCCAAACAACAAATGGGAAAATGAACTGAAAAGACACTTTGAAAGACAAATAAACAAATAGTTAATAAATATTGCAGAAATTGTTCAGGATCCCAAAAAAGCCTCCATGAAAACACAAACTAAAACAACTTTGAAATCTTGTCTCATCACAGAGAAAAGAACCCTAATAAAACTTTGGAGTATGTGGTAAGATGTAAATTAATACAGCCATTGTGAGAATCAGTTTGCAGATGACTGAAAAAATTGAAGATAAAACAAATGTATGATCCAGCAATGTCACTCCTGGGAACATAACTAGAGAACTCCACATCGCAATCTACAGATATTTATACCCAATGTTTACTCCTGCTGTAATCCCCATAGGAAAGAAATTGAATCAACCTAATCCAACAGATGGGATACTGAAAATAGTATACATATAAAATGGAATACAGTTGAGTTGAAGAAAAACATGCAATGAACATTTGCAGAAAAATGGATGGACTCAAAATGTTATATTAAGTGAAGTTATACAGTGTCAGAAGGAAGAAACCACATTTTCCCTCATACACAGAATCTAGCCAATAATATGTATATATAAGAAACAACATACATGTGGGCACAGTAGAACATGGAAAAAAGAGAACAAGAAACATTAAATATCAGGGTTGACTTAGGACTGAAGGTAGGTAATAAACACAAATTATGAAAAAGGATATAAAGCTAATTTCTATTCTAGTTCTAATTCTGTCACAGTTTTTCTTTCCTTTTCATAGTGCACAAGTTCACAAAAATATATTCTATAATGAAAATATAAAGTTCCCTGTGAGGCTGCAGAGCTTCTGATCCCAATGACTACTCTAACTGATAAAAAGACATTGTTGAAGGGAGCCACTTGTTGGTTTCCAGCTGCTTAGCCTTGAAACAATCACACAGAAACTAGATTATTGAAATCACTGCTTGGCCCATTAGCTCTAGCTTCTTATTGGCTAACTTTTACATCTTAATTTAACCCATTTCTATTAATCTGTGTATCACATGAGGTCATGGCCTACCAGCAAAGTTTCAGCACGTCTGTCTCCTGCAGCAGCTCCATGGCTTCTCTGACTCCATCCCTCTTTTTCCCAACATTTCGTTTAATTTTCCCTTCCTAGCTGTTTCTGCTATAGACCCAGACCTTTATTAACCAATGGTTTTCACAGAATACAAAGGGGAATCCCACATCATACACTAAATTGCATACTCTTTGGGTCTGGTTAATTTCAGTGTGTAATTTTTTGTCTGCTTGTTTGCAACATTTTTCATAATAAAGCTAAAAAGATAACCAGAAGTAAAATTTAAAGGCTTCCAATGTCTCAAACTATAAGATTTCTACAAAAGAAAGGAGGACATGACAACTGACCTGGGGCCTGCTTACTGGAGAATCAGCCATTTCTGCTTGCTTCTTTTCTTTGAGTTTCTCTTTCAGGAACAATGAATATATGGCTTGTTGGCCTTTCATATAAGGAGGAAAAAAGAAAAAGTAAAAATTAACACTGAGAGCGGTTAAAGACAAACAACAAACCACTTTAAAAGACCCAAGAAACACAATATGACCAGGTGTATAGTCAATAATCCCAAATTCAGGAGAGCTGGGAACAATATTTGAAGCTTAGGGAGAAAATCACTGTCAACCATATTGTTTCCTCTAGAACAATTCTACCTTAAAATTTATGGAAATGAGGTGGGCAGTGGTGGTGTATGCCTTGAATCCCAGCACTAAGGTGGCAGAGGCAGGCAGATCTCTGTGAGTTCAAGGCCAGCCTGGTCTACAAGAGCTAGTTCTAGGACAATTTGCAAAGCTACAGAGAAACCCTGTTTTAAAAAACAAACAAACAAACAAAATGATAGAGATATAAGTGCAGTTCAAGATATTTACAAAGCAAAAGAATCCATTTCAACAAAGCAGAAGAGCACAAATATATCAAAGGCAAAAAATATATATAGGAGAATAAGAGTAACATGGGAAAATGTAAATTTGATGAGAAGATTAGATAACTACAAGAGAAATGGGAAGTAATCAACCATGTTCAAGACTGAAACCACCAATTCTCAGAAAGAAGTTGAGGAATACGATCAATAACCCAACCAGGAACAACATCAAAAACAATAAAAATTCTTGAACTAACTACGACATGGGAAGACATTTCACACAGATGGAATGGAACACAGTATTTTGAAATTAGCACTATTTCAGAAAGTGGTTTATATTGTCAGTTCAAATCTCATGACATTTGAATGTTCCACAATAACCTTCACAGATATAATAAGGAGAAATGTAGAATTTATGTCGACACAAATTCCCTGGGTACAGAGCAGCCCCAAGAAAGTGTTGTAGTGCACAAGCTATCCCAGTGTGATTCCAGATCCGACCAATGTAATTGTGCAGCAGATCCAAACCTGCCCCATATCAACGACCAGGGGAATGTCAGCAAAATCACACAAATATGTGTTGTAGACTGGACAGTCTCTTCAAACAGTGGAACTGGGAAAATATCTAGACTTTATATAAAAATATGAACGTGGGTTCAATATTCTAACACACAGTGACTCATAGACCTTCATGTATGATCTAAAACAGTGAATCCTACAGAGTAACACAAACGGGTAACACTTGAAACAAGAGCAGAACCAGACAAATAGTACTGTGTAAAAAAAGAAAAAAAAAAACAACCCAAAGAAATGATAATAATGAAAATTTGAAGAGACAGATGACACAACATATACATATATTGACTATCTATTTATACTACAATTGATAAAAATAGAAAGGAAGCAAATGATAGTATGATCAATAAATCAGTAAATGGATTGAACAAATTGTGCGCAACAGCAGTTGTAAGGATCAATATGCATATAATAAAAAGCTCTACCGTGTAGATCACGAGACAATATGAATTTAACGTAGAGATTCCAATTCTGCCTAGTCAGTGTTCACACTCAAGTTCCTAAACAACAATTTTTTTCCAGTGATTTTTTTGAAATGTAATACATAGTATTGCATAAGCAAAAGATGTAAACAGGCAACATGATTCAAGAAAACTGAAAGCTGATAATAAAATATATATTTATCATGAAAAAATCATTGCAATCTAAAGACATAAAACACTGAAAAAGAATGAATCTGTGAAACTGTTATGCTTATGGAGTACAATAAAAAGGACTGATAATCATATTTATAATAATGACAGAAAATCAAAACAAAAATATCATAATTGAAAATTAAGAGCAACAGCAAAGGATAAAATGGTTTATTAGAAGATTCTTTGATAAACACAGGTGAGAGTCACAAAACCCAGACTGCAGACATCTACAGCAAACAGAAAACAGGAGAATATATAAAACATGTATGTGCAAATTGGCACACTGCATCATGTTCCTTTCAAAGATGAAAACAGCCTAGAAGGAAGACTGTCTTCTCTAAGTCTCTAAGCCATTCCTATAACAATTCTATTGCCTATTTTACAGAAAGAAATCCTGAAAGTGCCAAGGAAGAGAAAAGAGCCGGAAAATGAGAGGCTCAAACTTCGATGTGATCTCACAGTATACTACATCTACAGCAATGGAAACCATTTGGAATTAAAACGATGACACACAACAGGAGATACCCATGGGAAGACAGTATAGACAGAGCGTAACAGTCTGTAAATACACTTCCTCATTTCTTATAAAACTATGATGGTATTATTTTTAGAAACAGAGACATTAACACTAAAATGTAGAGAATGTAATAGAATACCAAAAGATTCTGAAAATAATAAGTAAACCTACTGGCACTAATTTTGATTATTTTATAATACATGAAAATCATAGAAATGAAAACCTATTAATACTGTTATGAAGACATGACCAGTGATGTCAATGAATAAGGACAGCATCACTCACATGCACACTCAAATGAAATTTTACTTGACTCCATTTTCAGCTCTTCTGTAGAACCAGTTCTCGTGCCTATAATAGGATGGTCCTGAGATCTTTCTCAGTGGATGTCTCCAGAACATTCCTAGTGACACAGATGTGGCACATGGATTTCATGTCCCACTCCCATATTCACTTGAGTCCCTTGCAGTAATTACAATAGATTTAAAGTCAGTGGGAAGCAGGAACGCCACACAACGGTGCTCACATAGGAGGTTTAGTGGAAGAGGCGAGACAAGGGGCAGAGAAGGGGACAGAGAAGGGGGCAGAGACTGGTCCCTGGGGATTAGAGTGGAGGAAGAGAAAGAATGAGAGAGAGGGGGAGAGAGAGAGAAGATGGGCAAGGCCCACCTTTTAAAAGGGAACATAGTGCATGTGCATAGGAGGTGCTCTTAGTGGCTGCAGATGTCAGGACACCAAGTATAGGCCAGGACATCTGAATACTAACAGACATCTCTTCACCAGTTCTTTCAAATACCTTGATCCTGAGCTACTGTCTCATCCCTCTTAACCTTCCTGGCCTCTTTGTTCTGCCCCACAGGTGAGCAGGTCTGGGTGATCAGTGAACCCTATACATGAGAAAGAGACTCTTCAGGAAGCACCTGGATTTCTAACACAGTACTGTACTCAGTAGAAGAAGAGAGGAATCTAGAAGTGTTCCCCCAATTGTCAGGCAGGGTCAGAATACTGAGAACATTTAGGAATCATTTTCAGTTATTGTGACTTGAATCCCACTTCCAGTCACAGGACAGTCAAATCTCAGCTGCAGAAATGGAACGGAAAGATTGGGATGAGAATATCACACACTAGTGACATCCTGAGTTTATCATAGACCCAATATGATAGAAGTCTCACAGCTCTCAAAGGCACAAGCGCTTTCAGAGTAAGAGAAAGACACTCTGAAGGAGAGCACTCTGAGGAGGAGCAAGGGAGACTGCATGCAAACAATTCTCGCCCACAGAAATCAGACTGCTGCAATTCTGCAACATCAAGTCTCTGAACAAAGCTCACAGAGCAGGGTCCAGGCACTGCCTCTTCTCCTGGGAGAAGTTCACAGTCACACCACTGGCTGTCAACAGACCACAAAATAAAAAACAACAGTTTGAACAGTTGTTCCAGAGCACAATTTTAATCTTGGCACTAGGGAGACAGAGGAAGGTGGAACTCTATGTTTTCCAGGCCAACTTGGTCTACTTGGTGAGTTTTGGCCAGACAGAGCAACACACTGAATTCAGGACTCAAACACAGCAAAAAGGAATCAAAAAAATAACAGCTTCATCATGTGTTCATGGACAGAGTGCTTTCCTTTAACTAAGACAAAAGATTCCTCTAGACATATTTTCCTAATATAGATGAGTTATTGTAATTATTCAAAAGATGCTTTATTATTCTATACTATAATAAGTTTTCATTGCCCCCCCCCAAGACAGGGCTTCTCTGTGTAGATAGATCCAGCTACCCTTTAACTTGTTCAGTAGACCAGGGTGGGAAGGAACTCCCAGCTCCTCTGTCTCCCAAATGCTGGGATTGAAAGAGTGTGCTACCATATGGCATATAACGTCTTTTCTTACTGTGAAAATACTGTGATCTAATATCATAAAAAAGTATATTGTTTTTTAGGCTCTAAGTTGTACATTAAGAGCTCAGCACAAAAATACACATTTCCTTCCTTCCTTCTTTCCTTTCTTCTTCCTTTTTTTTTTTTTTTTTTTTTTTTTTTTTTTTTTTTTTTTTTTTTTTTTTTTGTAGATCAGGCTGGCCTTAAACTCACAGAGATCCACAGGCCTCTGCCTCCTGAGTGCTGGAATTAAAGGCATGAGTCACCACCACATGGCCACATTTTTCTTTTCTATATTGTTTAAGGCAGTGTAGCAGCATGAAGCTCTGGCTGACACTTAACTCATTAGATAAGCCAGGCTGGCCTCAAACTCAATGTGATCCACTTGCCTCTGCCTCCCCAGTGGTGGGATTAAATGTGTGTGTCACTCAGTCTGTCAGACACTTTTTAAAATGATCTATCTACATCACAAAGTGTCTGATGAAAATTTTGTGGCAGATAAAAGGTTTACTTTTAAATGTTAATGTTTACAACCATGGAACTCGTAAAAAATATAATTTCTGATTTAATCATATTTGCAAGAGTTCATTTCATGACTAATACTTAAGATTTTTCTGGGAGTTCGTATCCCTAGTTCTGTGTGCCATTCTCTTGAATAGCGAAGAGGTTTAACAAGAAATTTGGCGTGGATGAATGTAAATTTGGAAAGCTTTTTCCTTTCCAACACAGTAAAGAGAACCATCTTTGCAAACAACAATACATAAATTCAAATATTGTAGTAAGTTTTTATGAGGATATTTTGACAATTAGAAGATAAATGAAAAAAAGCGGGACTGTTAGAGTTCATGTGATCTAAAGTTTACAGAGGAGGGTAACGGAACTCCAGAGCCTTATGAACAGCAGGGAAACTGCTCGCACCCCTGGTCCCTTCCCTCCTAGGTCCCAGCCCCGCAGCTCCTCTGACCTGGGAGGATCCAGGGCCGCCGGGCTGCGATTCCCCCATTGCGCTGCTGACTTTCCCAGGCCGCACCGCGGCGACTGCGGAGTTTTCGCTCCCCGTGACTCCTGCCGACTCCTCCGCACCCAGGTCTGCACCACAGGATTGTCAACCCGCAGGTTCCAGAGCTACCACAGGTACTGGCACAAAGCACTTCCGGCTTTTCCCTTTTAGTCTACTTCCGGTTTTTGTACGTCACTCTTATAAACTCCTCCCACTTCTCCATCCCCCCCTCCGCCCCCCCCCCCCCCCCCCCCCCCCCCCCCCCCCCCCCCCCCCCCCCCCCCCCCCCCCCCCCCCCCACTCCTACATCCCCACCCCCACCCCTCCCATTTCCACATCCCCAGCCCCTCACTCTGCACTTTTGTCTTTGGTTTGAAATAGCATGCTTTGTGTTTTATTTTCTCCATTTTGGCCTTTTCATGTAGACATGTACGCATCTGAACAGAGACAGTTTCTATTTTGCTCACTGTCATACCCCACAGGGCCTCACACAATGTCTGGATTCTAGCCAGTGCTCCAGGAAAGCTGTTGAGTCTAAGATAACGTCCTACTACTCAACCTGATAGTTATTAACACCACACACTGCCAAGCATCAGGAGGAGCCGTAGAAAATGAGGCTGAAGATTCAGCCCCCTAGAGTCTTAGAGCCCCAGGTGGGGACTGATAGGAGCTGGTCAATTGCTTATGAAGATCCTACAGAATGCCAGTGCCGGGGATGTAACTCAAAAGCAGATCACTTGCCTCGCTTGTAGGAACCCTGGGTTTTGTCCTAGCACTGGATAAATGAGGTCAGGATTTGGGAAAGACACTAGTCAGCAGCTGCAAATTTTTACTTAGGGAGAATAAATTCAAGATGTCTTTTATACATCACGGTGATAAAGGTAAATAACGCGCGCGGGCTGGAGAGATGGTTCAGTGGTTAAGAGCATTGCCTGCTCTTCCAAAGGTCCTGAGTTCAATTCCCAGCAACCACATGGTGGCTCACAACCATNCGTCTCAGGCCGCCTTCCACACAGCTCAGCATTCAGGCTGCCCAGGACCCGCTCTGCACAGCCTCCCCTCATGCTTCCTACCAGCCTAGACCAGACCATCATCATCATCATTCATGACCCAGCAATGCTCGTTCCGTTTATGACCGTTCTCCAGTTCTTCCTATCCTGCGCAGTCCTAGATGCTTGCATCGTTGTCATACCCAAGGTTCTGCACTCTTCATTTACGATGTCTATTCAGCGTTTTTTAGGGCCTCCCTCTTCACCTTATCCCGAGCACTCCTCCAAGCAGTACCATCTTCGAGTATCTGCCATCGATCATTCCCATAACATGGCTGAAGTATCTCAAGCCGTTGCTGTACCCTGTAGTTTACTTCCTTCTGTAGATGGGAGATGTTTCTTAATGTCATCCTTGTGCATCCTGTCTCTTCATATGATGCCTAGAATCCTCCAGAGACATGCCTTATCAAACACATTTAGCCACTGCTCTGGGGAGAGTGTTTCATTGTCCAGTTTTTGGAGCTGTAAAGAAGGCAGCTCAAGACAAGTGTCTCATATACTTGTAATTTTGTTGTTGCCGTAATGTCTCTCGCAAACCAAACTTTTACTAGTGCCTGGAATGCAGTCCTCACTATCCCTATCTGCCTCCTGACATCTAAAATAGTTCCTCCTTTGAACTAAGATTTCCTTCCAGACAGACAAAGTTGACTGTTTGCTTGAGGTTCTGATTCTTTATTACAATGTTAAAATCCCTTCCCATGTGTTGTATCTCAGTCTTCTCTGTGTTTACATTCATACCAAGTTTTCACTGACTTCCACCACTCGATTTTTCTTGGTCTGCAGCTCATTTGGACTTTTAGCAAGTGTGGTATCGTCAGCGAAATGCAAATTTATTGATTTGCACACCACCTATCTGCATGCCTATCTCTTCATCCTCCAGGGCTCTTGCGATTATTAAGTCTAGGAACATATTAAAGAGTAGTGATGAGAGGATGCATCCCTGCAACTTTACTATGATTTTCTTAAACTAATCACTTAGTTCTTCACAGGCTTTGACTGTTGCAAAGGTATTGTTGTAGGCATTTTCTAGTATTCTTATGATTTTCTCTGGGTACCTGTAGAACGTCATTATTTCCCAAAGTCCATTCCTCCAAATGATATCAAATGCCTTCCTGAAGTCGATGTAACACACATTTAAGTCAGACATATTTAAGTCCGAACTAAGCTTGTGCATATGTTTAGTAACACTGTGATATAAATGAATGGAACATTGGATAATGTGTGCTAGATATTAAACTGGGGATGGGGTAGGAATAAGTGAAGAAGAGTAAGGGGGTTATCCAAAAGGAAGGATGTATGAAGAAGCCTCTTGAAATCCCACCTGTCTTACAGGTTAATAGTAAATAAGATTTTAAAACTTTGAACAGAGGTGTCCCACATGTGTGAATAATGCTGCTTCCAGATGCCAGGGCTACTAAATGAAACTCCTTGTACCAGATATTGCTTATCTGCCTAGGAATTACTGGTCAGGGAGGCCTGAGAGACATCTGAAACAAAGCAGATGCCAGTATTCTTGCTTTGCCACCCTAAGAACATGGTGCTGCTGTAAACACCAAACACTTTGGCTTCAAGATCAAGAGAGCAACTTGAACTTACCAGGAATTTCTCCCAACTGGTTCCCTTTCATAGAACTGTAGGGTTATGTAAGGGCTGATGGCAAAGAAAATAAGTTAATATTCTTACCCATGGACTCTACATCGTACAATAGCAACCTATTGGGCAAAATGTGTATACTATACTGGCACAACTGTAAATTGGCATAGCCCACCGCTCTTCATTGGATCTGAGTCATGCTCCATAGAGAGGAATTCATGCCTTTCACAAACCAAAGCTTCGAAGTATAAGTCCAAGGACAGAAACTATTTGTTTTATTAATGATGATATTGTCAATCTGCCATCTAAATATTTATATCTATAATTATCAATTTTTCTACTCTTAACTTTGATGAAAGAAGTCTCCTCTTATAGTAGGTACTTGGTAATGCAGACTTATAAATGAAAAAGTAACTGTGTAAGATTAGGACAATTAAAATTTCATCAAGACTGAGGGATGGTACCATGAGCCTCCTTTACCTCCATGAAGGTCTGTTGACGGTAAATGAAAGCTAAGTCATTTTATTATTTGTGTCCAGCAAATACTTTTCTTCAGTAGTTCAAAATTCATGCCCTGAGGGATCTCTTTCTTTTTTTTTTTTTTTTTTATTGCTTTACTTTTTGAGATGGGATTTCTCTGTATAGTCCTCGCTCTGTTGGGAATTGCACCGTGGACCAGGCTGAACTCAAAAAAAAATCCACATGTTTCTGACTCCACAGTGCTGAGATGAAAGGGATACACCACCAAGCCCAGAGTCTTAGAGATTTCTAAGCTGTTTTTGAGAAGCTTATGATGTCACAGTCAGAGCCAATCTCTTTACAGTTTCTCACTTTCTTGCTATTTGTAAGGTTTCAGTCTTTGTGTAAAGATTATTGAAAGTGAACAAAAGATGAGACTGAATTAGAACATTGTCTTTCAAGCTGAAGTTGCATTGATGTTGGCAATTTCAGCACTAGGTAAAGGATTTATCAAATTCAATTTATTTGGTGGGTGAAATTTCCAATGAACAGAAGATATGGGGATTATATATGGTATCCCTTTACATGTTTTCTCAGAATTACGAAATTTGTGGTATACTGAACAATTAGAGGTCTTTGTCACATTTTTTGAAAAAAAAATCAGCAGCATTTATTCCATTTATGTCATGCATTACTACCTCATTTCATTGCATTCATCCCTGCAGTGAAAACCCTACACCCAACTAGCAGTTATTTTCCTTTGTCTCTGTTCCCAGGCTCTGTCAAGTACTAACTTATTTTCCAACCCCACTTATTATAAATATTTTATATAAAAGAGAACAGGATACATGATGTATTGTTTCTGAATTTTCACTCAGCATATCTTCAAGTTTTATCCATTTTATTACATATATTAAAATTTCATTTTTTTCATCTTTGAATAGTTGTAATTCTGCTACTCATATTAACACACCCATTGTTTTTTGAATACTTGGAAGCATTCTTAGTACTAGTAGAATGCTAGGTCATGTGGCAATTTGAAATTTTACTTTCTAAGAGATTTTCAATCTTTTTTATCATAACACTTTTATTTTTCAGGTTTAAGGATTCTAGTTTCTTGGCATTATCACCAATATTTGCTATTTTATGTTTATTAATATGATTGCCCTTCTATTGAGTAGCAAGTGATATCCCATTGCCATTTTTATTTATCTTTTTCTAATGACGTTATTCATCTTCCATTTGTATTTTTTTAAAGTTACTAGATTTTGTCCTTATTTTGATTTATTTTACTTTTTTCAAGACAGGGTTTATGTATACATGGCAGTCCTGGATCTCACTATGTAGACCAGGATGGTCTCAGACTCATAGAAATATTCTAGCCTCTGCCTCCTGAGTGCTGGGGGAAAACGTATGCACCACATAGTCTGCCTTTATTATGAATTCTTAAGTTCAGAACATTTTTTTGTTTTGTTCTTTGAGAAAAGATTTCACTATGTAACAGCCTTAGCTGTTGTGGAACTAGCTGTGTACACTAGGCTGGCCTTGAACTCACAGGTATCCACCTGACTGTCCCCTGAATGCCAGGATTAAAGACATGTGGCACCACAACATGTAAAGATAAGTGATATTATTACATTTCCCAGGAGCTGGAGTCAAGGTAGTTCTTAAAGAGCCCTGGAGTTCGATTCCTAACACACACTGAAGAGATCACAACTATCTGAAAATCCAGCCTCGTGGAATCTTATGTCCTCTGCTGCATTCCCAGGCACCTGGCAAGCATGGAGTGCAGAGAAAGATTAGCAAAACAACTCTTTACACATTGGGCAAAGCACCCATACGTGTGAAAAAAAATTCACAGTTACTATGGCAAAATTTTTTAAAATATAAACACGGTGATATCTTCTAAGATTTAAAACTTCAGAATAGGTTTTCACAAGTTTCTTATCGCTGTTTCTATTTATTGTAGTTTGTCTTTTTGGTTGGACTTTCTTTGGACCCACAGCACCCAAACAATGGCACAATGATGTATTATAAATTATGAAACCTTGACCTTTATGTTTGTTCCCAACTAGCTCTTATAACCTAAGTAATAGGTTTCTATTAACCTACATTTTGTCAACTGGCTCTTTACCTCTCTTCCATTTTGCACATCTGATGTCTCCCACGTCTTTTTGGCATCTGCTGCCACACCAGATTCACTCCAAGTTCCTTTCTCTCCTGAGAAGTTCTGCCCATTTTCTCCCACCTAGCTACTGGTCATTCAGCTCTTTATCAAACTAATCAGAAGGAACTTTGGCAAAGACACATCTTCACAGTATACAAAAAATTATCCTGTAGCATATTATATATGCTGTTAGGCTTTATAGGCTGAACACACCTAAAAAATGCTATGACACATTATGAGAATGGTATTTTTCTCTCCAGTGCCAACTCTCTGATGTGTTTTAAGATTTGAAAGACAGATATAGGGTATGCTAGTCATTGTATTTGTTGTTTCTCTCTAGTATGAATGTTCTGATGGGCTTTAAGGTGGGAGTACCTAGTAAAAGATTTGTCACATTCCTTACAACTATATGGTCTCTCTCCAGTATGAATTCTCTGATGTGTTCTAAGATGTGACATGTCGATAAAGGATTTATTACATTCCTGACATTTGTGAGGTCTCTCTCCAGTGTGAACACTTTGATGTCTTCTAAGAGTCGAAATACGGAGAAAGGACATGTCACAGTCTTTGCATTTGTGAATTTTCTCTCCAGTATGAATTTTCTGATGTTTTCTGAGGTCTGAGCATGTAGTAAAACATTTGCCACATTCCTTACAGCTGTAAGGTCTCTCTCCAGTGTGGACTCTCTGATGCGTTCTAAGATATGAATTATGGGTAAAGGATTTCTCACATTCCCTACATTTGTAAAGTTTCTCTCCAGTATGAATTTTCTGATGTGCTCTAAGAGTTGAAAGTCGGGTAAAACATTTGTCACATTCTTCACATCTGTAAGGCTTCTCTCCAGTTTGTATTCTCTGATGTCCAGTGAGGCTTGAGGCTGCACTGAAGTATTTCCCACATTTCCTAGATTGGTATGGTGTCTCTCCAGTGGAGAATTTTTGTTGCAAGAGACTGTAAGCAGAGGTGAAATAGTCATCATATTCTCCTTGCCTGTGTTCTGATCTTGCAGTGTAGACTCTCTGATCATGAGTAATGTTGGAACACAAATTTAATGATTTCTCACAGACTTTACATTTGCAAGGTTCTTCTCCAGTGTGCAAGCTGTCATGTCTATCTGGGTTTGATGAGTCAAAAGAGGCATCCCTGTGATTACTGCATCTGTAGTTATTAGAGTTTTCTGTAGTTTCACTTGTTCTATAAAGTGCACATGAGGAGGGGTCATGAAGCATTTTGCCAAGGTCATTACACTGAGAAGACTCCTTTTCAGCCTTCACTTGTTGATAGACAGGATCACATATGCAACAGTTCTCTGAAAATGAATACAATTCAGATTAATAGGGCATGATACAACACTATACATTTGATAAATGGCTGTCTTCCTAAGTTCTTTCTAAAGATAAGTGAATCAGAAAGTAATTAGACGTTTATCTTCCATCATAATTGAATGTATTCTCACAAAAACAGACAGACAGGCTCTAAGGGTCTGAGATATAGCAGATACCTCATCCTTATCGAAAATGTCTAATGGCAGAAGATGGATCAGGAAAGTGAGGCATAAGCAATTTGCTCTGGGACGGCGCTCACTGACGGATTATATTAAGAATACATGTCTCTATTTTAAAACATTTCATCTCAGAAAATTGCTGATGAATACTGTTAAGGAGGGCCAATTCCTTTAAATATTAAAGTCTTACTTAAAAATATCAAATGGTTTTTCTTTCTAGAAAAATATATTCGATTCTTTCAAATGAATGGATGGAAAGCTAGTATTCTGCCAGACAGCAGAGGCTCAGATCATTTGATGCAGGTTTGAAATGGGCAGCTATTCTTATTCCTATCTTTCCCGGTCTTAGCGTCACACACTACTGTGTTTCCTAACTTTCTTCATATGCTTATTTCCAAGTCTATTCAGCCCACTGGCTTCTGAGAGGGTGTCTGTGTATTCTCCACTGCACTGACTTCTGAGAGGGTGTCTGTGTATTCTCCACTGCACAAAATACGTAATATGAAGATAGACATGCAAGGAAGGCAATTTCAGACCAATACTAATTCATGGATTCACATTAGGCTTATAATTTGTAAAATTATTCCAATCTGATATCAGCATAGTTAAATAAAATGCATTTTGTGCCCGGCGGTAATGGCACATGCTTTTACCCCAGCACTTGGGAGGCAGAGGTAGGTGGATCTTTGTGAGTTCGAGGCCAGACTGATTTACAAGAGGTAGTTCTAGGACAGGCACCAAAGCTATAGAGAAACCCTGTCTCGAAATACAAAAAACTAAAACAAAACAAAACCAAAAAAAAAACCCAAAAAATTACATTTTGTACTGATATTAAGTCACCATAAATCAGGTGCAATAAGACACAATACCTTGTAACAGTTACAACAGGCAGGATGCATCTTGGGACCAGAATACTCCACTAAGTTCAATGATGAGGCATTCTTTCAAATGGAATAGAATATAGCAAAAGCATTCTCAGCTATTGCTTTCTCTTTCACTGGAAGACATCACTGTTGTCCTGCTTATTCACGAGCCCACCCTGGTTTTGACTACTCTCTCCTCTCCACATTCCAGGGCAATCTCATTTGCTCAGGACAGGTGACCAGGCCTATCTTGCATACAATAATCCACATGTTCTGTGAGGTAGCCAATGACCCATGCTAGAATTTTTAGAAAGAATAGAGACATCAAACAAAATATTGTGCTCAGTACATCAAGAGAACACAAAGTAGAAGAAACTAGGAATGATTTCCAATTGCTATTTCTTGCCAGAATCTTTTAGCATATTTAAGGAAAAATTTCAGATCGCCTATCCTGAGCTTTTTCTCACAAAACTATAAAAGTTACAACGATGGAGTTGGAGCTTTAAGGTATATATGGAAATATATATGGAATTTATTTTGGAAACACAGTGAGGTTTACAAGGCACCTTTAACATGGAAATGAAGTAAGAGTCAAATTCCATGAAAAAGTTATTTCTAGTACCAAACTTTCCTGCCTTCCATTGTTTCTAGGACAGCTTAACAGAGTTTAAAGGTCAGTATATACAAAGAATGATTTAGGAATTCTACAATAAAAATGTTCTCACCCACAAAGAGCAGGCTGCTGTAATTCTCCAACATCACATCAATGTACAAAGCCCTCTGAGAAGAGTCTAGGCATTCCCACTCTTCCTGGGAGAAGTCCACAGTCACATCCCTGAATGTCAATGGACCCTGAAACACAAAGTACAGTTTGACCAGGTGATCCCATAAAGAGGCTTACCTTGAGATAAGGAGACTTGAGGAAATTAGGGATGTAGATGAGTGAATACAATTACTCAAAGCAATGATTTCTGATATAGTCACACATTATAATGAATGTTCCAAGTCTTTGAAATCAAGATGACAAAGTAGTTTCACAAGCACACCCATGAAAAGAGACACACATTTAAGGTCTGGACACAGTTGTCTACCTGGTATGGATGCTGTGTTTATGTCCCATGGATTACAGTATATATGTCTCAGAAGGAAAATGGTGACGAGGAAATGTGGTAAAGTACCAACAGTGAATCAATCCTGTGCATTTTTCAGTCTCACACGATTGTATTCCTAACACGCTCAGTTTGCATGTTTAAATTCCATCAACTCCATTCCATTAAAGAGAAAAGGAATGAATATGGAAGGCAGAATTCACAATTGAATCTATAGGTAAAGAGCTGTTTTCCCCCACAGTAACAACAAGTGTAACAGCAATGTATACTGTCAATTTTAACATTACGACATAAGTGGGATTACTTTTATCAGAATATCTGAGTTACTGGCAAGCTGACAGAAAAATCTACATCAGCCATATTTGATATAATCTAAAATTTTACTCAAGAATAGGCATAAGGCAACTAAAACAAATAATTTTAGAAGTTCTGGGGATGGGCTGGAGAGATGGCTCAGTGGTTAAGAGCACTGACTACTCTTCCAGAGGACCCGGGTTCAATTCCCAGCACCCACATGGCAGCTCACAGCTGTCTGAAGATCCAGTTCCAGGGGATCTGACACCTTCATACCAATGCACATAGAATAAAGTTAAATAAACCATAAAAATATTTAAAAAAAAAGAAGTTCTGGGGACTATTTCACCCCCAAAGAGTTATAAAAATTGGGGTAAGTCCCAAACCACATCAAATAGTTTCTGAGTAGCAGCTAAGCATGTACATGTAAGTATAGTAACTGTGGATACATTCAGAAGTGGCATAGATTTACTGAGAAAATGATTATTCTAAATTCTGTGAGAATTACAGCCACTGTTCAGTGCTGTGCAAATATAACAGAGCTCAAAGAATGGCTCAGGAGAAAACTTTAGCTACTGTATCTGAATTTTGTGGTTATCAGCATGCTCCCTTCCAGTACTGATGCTGTACTACCCATCACACTTCAGGTTAGTAGTGGTCATGATTCTTCCTTTATTTCTGTGAAAATAGAAAGTGTTAATACAATCTATCTGAGTCGGGAGTCAGGAATAGAAATACAAACCAGAGCCCATTTCCTAAATCTCTACGTTAAAATACTGCAGGTTCCTGGTAGGGGAACAGAGCCATGACTCTCACAGGAACAGACTAGAGGAAAAGAATCATGAGGAAATGTTCTGCATCAAATATGATGGATTATGCACACCAATTAGTCAATGCCCTCAGTTCCTGATGAATTCCACATAATGCTACATAATGACTCCCAACCAATAAGGCTGCACAGTGGGATCCTGTATTTTGTGTGTGTGTGGTGGCAGGGAGGTTAGAGAATAAAATATACCGATCTCTCAGGTTTAGGAAGCTACCACAGAACATCCTAATCAAGTAGGTGATGTGATCAGCAATTTTCCTGAGACAAACAGATATCAGGTGTCAACAAACACATGGACACGTCATCACTGTTGTGATATTAAACACCAAAGAGAAATACGGGTAGAGTACAATCTGAATCTACGCTCAAGAACATCAGTTTCATAGCAACATCAATCCATGTTTTGCACTGTCTAGTGTGCTTACATTTTTAGTAGTAAGAACCAAGTTTTACACAGCATTAAAAATCAAGATATGTCTCTTTTAATTCCACACACTGCTAAGATGTTGTGACAGCTATTCCTTGTGATTCAATATGTGCTTTTCATAACCATGATTCAAGGAAATGTGAGAGACCTCACCAATGGAGCCTACATGCCACAGGAGTCCTACACACTAATATATAAAGATATAGTTTGATACTCTACGGCAATTGGGCTTCAAAACATATTTTGTTCATGCGTTAGAGTGGATATATTTTCAAAATTAAAGATCATAAGTTCATGTGGGATATTTATCCTAAAATAATTGGGGGAGAGTAAAATTGAGAGAAGTGCTATACAGGAGATGTAGACATACTGAGTTACAGTGTACAGGTGTAGTCATAACAGAATACTATAGAGGCTCCAGGAAGAATACTGTAAAGCCATGCCCACTAAATATTTACTAATGGAGGCAAAAAGATGAATTAAAATAATATGGTCTTTTCAGCAAATGGTGTAGGCACACCTGGATCCAAGTAGGTGAATGAAAATAGATTCTTATCTTTCATTTGTAAAAAAAATACATTAAAATGGATCAAAAATCTTATTTGAAACAAGAAACAGAAACCTAGAAAACATAGGGAATATTCATGAGGATATTGGGATGGGCAAGGACTTCTCGATTAGAAAGAACAGCAACAGCATAGGATTTGGTTCCAGAGGATGAGCAAGTAACCCTTGTTGGTCATGAGCCCCCACTGGGCCATACCTGCCTTAGCTCCAGAGTTTTCACTCAGCCCCTAATCCATCATTTGTGTTAAAGATTTCTTTTGTTACCCTATGTTAATCTTATCTGAGAGGTTCCCATGGATAAAAAGCCTATGTAAAACTTGGTTTAGAGAAAACCGGGAAAACCGAAGTACCTCATCAATCAGGTATTTGCACCTGGCACTGTATTTTCAGAAACTTCATTCAGTTTTTGTTGACATATGAAAATCTACTAGCGAAAGTGGAAATATATGAAAAAATAAAGATGCCAAGAGGCAAAGGGAAAGTGCTTCAGTTCACCAAGACTAAGCTCCCTGCGGCCACAGAGGCTAAGTTCATTCTCATGTCTCTAATTCTTCATTTCACCAACCTGAGTGATCCCACATACCCATTCTGCTACACACGTGACAATTAACATTTTTTTAATTTTAATTTTTTGATTTTTGGAGACAGGGTTTCTCTGTAGCTTTGGAGCCTCTCCTAGAACTAGCTCTTGTTGACCAGGCTGGCCTCAAACTCACAGAGATCCTCCTGCCTCTGTCTCCCAAGTGTTGTGATTAAAAGCATGTGCCACCACCGCCCAGTTTACAAGCGACAGTTAAGTGCAGTTATATTATACAGTGTCAGAAGGAAGGAAGCACATTTTCCCTCACATGCATAGTGTAGACACAGTATGTGTCTATGGAAACAGTGTACATGTGCGCACAGTAGAACACGGAGAGAAGAGAACAAAGAACATTAACTATCAGGGTTCAGTTAGGACTGAATTCAGGTACTGAACACAAGTTATGAAAAAGGATATAAAGCTAATTTCTTTTCCAGTTTAATTCTGTCACAGATTTTCTTTCTTTTTCATGATTCACAAGTTCACATAAATATAGTCTGTAATGAAAATATAAAATCCCTTGTGAGGCCGCAGAAGTTCTGATCCCAATGACTACTCATAAAAGTACATTGAGTTGCATACTCTTTGGGTCTGGTTATTTTCAGTGTGTAATTGTCTGCTTCTTTGTCTGCAAGGTTTTTCATAGTAATGTTAAAAAAGATAAACAGAAGCACAATTTCAAGGCTTCTAATGTCTCAAACAACAATATTCCTATAAAAAGGGGGGGGGGGTGAGACATGAGCACTGACCTGGGGCCTGTTTACTGGAGAATCAGCCATTTCTTTTTGCTTCTCTTTTTTGAGTTTCTCTTTCAGGAACAATGAATAGATGGTTTGTTGGCCTTTTATATAAGGAGGCAAAAAGAAAAAATTAATACTGAAAGTGGTTAAAGAAAAATGACCACTTGAACAGACCCAAGAAACACAATATGACCAGGTGTTTTATCAATGATTCCCAAATCAGGAGAGCAGGGAATGACATTTGAAGCTTGCAGAGAAAAATCACTGTCAATCATATTGTTATATCTAGAAAAAGTCTACCTTAAAATTGATGGAGATGTAAGTGCAGTTCAAGATAATTACAAAATAAAAGAATTAATACTGTTATGAAGACATGACTAGTGATGTCAATGAAAAGGACAGCATCACTCACATGCACACTCAAATGAAATTTTACTTGACTCCATTTTCAGCTCTTCTGTAGAACCAGTTCTCGTGCCTAAAATAGGATGGTCCTGAGATCTTTCTCAGTGGATGTCTCCAGAACATTCCTAGTGACACAGATGTGGCACACTGATTTCATGTCCTACTCCCATATTCACTTGAGTCCCTTGCAGTAATTACAATAGATTTAAAGTCAGTGGGAAGCAGGAACGCCACACAATGGTGCTCACATAGGAGGTTTAGTGGAAGAGGTGAGACAAGGGGCAGAGAAGGGGACAGAGAAGGGGGCAGAGACTGGTCCCTGGGGATTAGAGTGGAGGAAGAGAAAGAATGAGAGAGGGAGATAGACAGAGAGAGGGAGAGAGAGAGAGAGAGAGAGAGAGAGAGAGAGAGAGAGAGAGAGAGAGAGAGA